AGAGAGAGAGAGAGAGAGAGAGAGAGAGAGAGAGAGAGAGAGGCAGAGCATGCCCAGTATTCAAATCCATCTTCCAGGATAGTCATCCCATTTATCTTTTATTTACAGTCCTGACCCTCATGCTGGGGGAAAATTGCATAGTATCAGGCATATCAAACCTTGCTTAGAGCTCCCCCACCAGAACTGCTGTTCCAGTGAAATTCATTAGGCACCTCCTGTTTGCCTGGCCCATTCTCACTGGGTATCTGAGGGAGGTCAACGGCCACCTGGCCACAAGTTGACCAACCCCAAAGATGACTCTATGGATGGAAGAGGACTGAACCTAATGACGTCACTGAAGCCCCTTCCACATGACCCTCTGGAATGTGGATGTCCTGAGTGTAATAAGTCTCAAATGGGAGAGCAATGATCCACACGCTCTCTTAATGTATTTCCAAGTCAAGCATTGCAAATTTCTAGCCATTGGAGGAACTGTATTTTAACCCTTGTACAAGCAGACCCCCGAGAGGGTAACAGCCAGATCACACAGCGTGCTTTCAGAGTAGAAGCTTGAATATTCATTGTCCTCGGTCTTCCCCCTATGGGGAGAGGCGGCAGCGGTGGTGGCTCCTGTGGACAGTCCATTCCAGACACAGCAGGCAGTGTCCTTAATGACATGATTCCTACACCCCAGGCGTGAGAAATTGCTCTTTTTAAGTAGAAAAGTAAAGTGGCTAAGCCGACTCCAGATTTTCCAGGCAAAGAGCCCAGAAGGGCTTCAGTGGTACTGCAAGCTGCTTCCAAGTGTCTCTCTGGAAGATGTGATTTAATGCTTTTGCCAGCACCAATTAACGGTACAGGTGAGAAGTGGCTGGGTTTGCACTGCATGCCAAGCTATTGTAGTTTGAAATTGTCTTTCAAGTTCAAGATGTAACATCCATGACATAAAACAGGCCTAGAGTTTGTGACCATGAAAATATTTCTCTCACCTTATCGGTATGTGTATTTCCATTACAAAATATGGGAAACTTTATGGCTCCTCCCCTTTCACCTTGAAGAATTCAGCCAAATTCAATGCACAGAGTTCGTCATAATTTCCCTCTGCAGCCTTTTCCTTGCTGACATCTCCAGGGTCTGACTCTCTCACTCTCTGCACTTTCTCTTTCCAGCATCCTTTGCACTGCTATTGGATCTCTAAGTACCCCTCTAACACACACACACACACACACACACACACACACACACACACCATCTTCTGTCAGCACCAGGAGGCGCTTGGTAGAGAACAGCTGCCAGGGTGATGTCTGTTAGCATGGCTTAGATGGTAAATCTAGATCCTTCCCTACAACAGGGACCTCCACTTTGGTACCAAGGACATCTTGGGCTGAGTAACTGCAGTGGGGGCATTGGTGCATGGTAGGATGTCTGACACTGTCCCTGAATTCTAACTCTAGCTGTGACCATCTAAAAGGCCTCGGGATATTGCCATGTACCTCTTGGGGTGAGACAAAGAGCAAGAAGCTCCTTGTTCCTCCCAAAGGAACACACAGACACACACAGAGATACAAAGACACGCGTGCGCATGCGCGCACAAAACACACACACACACACACATACCCACACATATCCCACCCTCTAGCACACCACTTCCTCCCTTCCAGTGCAGAACAGATTATCCAGACCCTGACCACTAGGGTCACGCTTTTGCTTGCTAATTTCCAGGTATTTGAGCTGTATGTTTCCTGCTTTCTATGATTGCTCTATGGAGCAGTTATTGGGGCTTTGGCTTGTTTAGGTTTGGGGCTCTTGCTATAGCCTAAGACCCTCTCCAATCAGAAATGTTTTTATGAGAATGTCCACCTGGAGCTAAGCTGTATGGGGGAGGGGACTGAAGGGTGCTCCAGGCAGCTAGAGGAGGGGAACCTTCAGCAGCTGAAGAACATCCTGGAACTTGAGCAATGCGGACACCCACAGGCACCTGTGCCCATTCCTCTCTGTTTTCTGACATTTCAGTGCCTGTCCACCTTCTTGTCCATTGAGCTTCAGATCAGTCGTCATCTCCTCCAGAGCAGAGCAAGCACAGGAGTGTGGGCCTGGGGTCTGGGACCTGAGGCTGGAGTGAGGCTCCAAGGATAGCCTCTGCCTACAGTCAGGATGGGGGTGCGACGGTTAGGCTTCACTGCCCATTTTATTGGGCTTAGACCCATCTAGGAGACAAATGTGTGCGCATGTCTGTGGGGAAGTCTCTAGATTGACTTAACATAAGGCAAGAAGACTCATTTAGCTGTTGGTGGCATCAACAGTGGGCTGGAGTCTTGGACTAAATAAAAAGAACTTCAGCTCTCGTCTGTCTGCTTCCCGACTGTGGATATGGTGGGACAGCAGCCGCCTCAGGCTTCTGTGCCATGGCTAGGACAGCTCCTGTCCTACCTTCCCCAGCAGGATGGACTATATCCACAAACCATGAGCCCAAATAAACCCATCCTTCCTCAAGTGCTTCACGTCAGGTATTTCATCACTAATACAGTGGGAGAGACTGATATTTCTGGGGCCAGAAGCTGTCAGCCCTCGGGACTGAGTTCACAGTAAGAAAATCCAGCTCTCCAGTCCCATGATGCCTGGGAGCCAAGATGGCCTGGACTTCACATCCTGCCCTGCGTCTCTTGTGTGACCCAGGACTAATTAACCGAGGAGGGAAGATTATATCATTCTACGGCTTAGGACCTCAGAGTGAAGGAAAGGGAGGAAAGAAGAAAGTGAAGTGAGGGTTGACATTCATGTCTCTCTGCTTCCTGGTCCCCAGAGATGGGAGAAGCAGCTGCATGCTCCTGCCATGTGCCTTTCCCGCCATGATGGACTGTAGCCTCTGACCATGGCCCAGAGTAAATGCTTCACCCCTGACACTGCTGTCGGACAAGTAAGGAGTACAGAAGCCTCCTCATGACCACATTCAAACCCTGGCTTTACCACTTCCTTCAAGTTTCTAGGCCTCAGCTTTCCCACCAGGAAACTGGACATAATAGTATTGACGTGGTTGCTAGTACTGAATGCCAGCACACACATCATTAGAATGCTACCTGGCTCCTACTGAGGTACAGGCACTATAAATACACAATAGGGGCTGGAGATGTAACTCAGTGATAGAGCCCTTGCCTAGCATGTGTAAGACCCTAGTTTTGGTTGTCAGTAATATATATATATATAGTATATATATTAACTATATAACAATAATATAGTATTATATATGTATATTATATATAGTATATATAGTAATATATACTATATATAACAATACATCAGGTGCTGGCTGCATTCTCCCTCCCTTGACTAGTCTACCTTTCATTCCTTTTCTTTGTCTAGACAGTGGGTACCAAATGTTGTAACCTTCTGTCATGGCTTAAGTTGTATACCTGTTATCATATGGTACCTGTGAATATGAGCTCTGAAAACAGTCACCTGGTGAGTGTGGTGGTGGGGGTCACCCTGGGGTGGCCTGGTTCATCTGATTCCTGTCTTTATAGGTTGAAGAGATTGGAGAACAGATGCTGAGTCTCAGTGAAAATGTAAGCATGGAGGGGGCTGGGGGATGCGGCTGCCAGCCAAGGCACACCGTGGGTGTGGGAACACTGGGAGTACAGGAAGACTAAGTGTATTGGAGCATTGAGGAAGCAGGAGCACTGAGGATGCTAGGGTACTGAGGATGCTAGGGTACTGAGGTTGCTAGGGTACTGAGGTTGCTAGGGTACTGAGGATGCAGGAGGACTGGGGATGCAGGAGAATTGAGGATGCAGGAGGATTGAGGATGTAGGAGCACTGACGATGCAGGAGGACCGGGGGATACAGGAGGACTGAGGATGCAGGAGGACCGAGGATGCAGGAGGACCGGGGATGCAGGAGGACCGGGGATGCAGG